TTTATTCTTTCTTTATTTTATTACCCTTTATTGAGATAATATCCGTAGATATTGGCACAGGCCTTAGAAACCTTTGTTATTATTAAAAGTTATAGTCTAATTCCCTTCTCATTACCTTTTATTATTTCAGTCTCTCCCAACCCTATATCGTTAGGGTAAATCAAAGTGAAAACCCACTTACCAATTTGCTGTAACAATACAAATTAAAATAAAAGATATGAAGAATTTAATATTAAAGATAAGTTTTTTTTCTATTTATAAAATAAAAGTTTTAGTTAATAAGTAAAAAATAATCAAAAAGCTTACATTAAAATTAAAGATCTTTTTGAAGTTATCTTCAAAATATTTTCTGTTATTCATAAATTACAACTATTATATAATATAAAATTATATCTGATATTTCATATATCACTTTTAAAGAAATATAATCCAGATGATAAATATAATAAATATTAATTATCATTAGTCATTATTATCTCTGATAATAAAGAAGAATATGAAATAGAAAATATTTTTGATAAAAGAGTTTATTATCATAAATCTCAATATCTTGTTAAATAACTTAGTTATTCTTTCTATAATATAATACAAAAATCTCCTGAAAACTTGAAAAATATCATAGAAAAAATTAATATCTTTGAAAAATCATGCACTTAAATATAATAAGAATATTATACTTTAAGTAAGAAAATATGTAATAATTTTAATTAAGTTATTTTTCTTTAAGTATAGATCTTTATTTTGTGCTATCTGTATATCATATTAATTTTTGTACTACTTTTTATAAAAATTAATTTCATTTTGAATATACAGATAATCATTTATATATTTAATACATTAAATTTAACATGTTATCATACAGATAATTACTATATATATCATTATTATTAATTTAGATAATTAATATTTTTAATTAGATTTCTTTTTAATTATTCTTTTATAATCTTATTTATTACTATTTATATTACTATTTATATTATTTATAATTATTAGATTATAATTAGTTATCCTTTAGAAATACAAATTAAGTTAATTAATTATGTTTATATATTTTAATTAAAAATTATTATTAATTTATTCATATTTTGTATTTATTTCTTTTATTATAAATATATATATTAATTTATTTTATAATTATAATAAATTATCAGTTTTCAAATTCTCTAGTAAATAGATATAATCTCTAAGCTAATTATAATATTTTTATAAATAACACTTATAAATATTATTAAAAATTTAAACTCTTTAGAAAACTATATATAATTTTAAAATATTAAAATAATATGCAGATTATATAACATATTGTACAATAATAAATTATTAAAAAGTATATAATATTCTGAACTTCATATTATAATTTAAGAATAGAAGAATTTTGAATATATTGGATTTTGATAATGTCAGAATGTTGGAAAATCAGGTTTTTATTCAGAATTTTAATAAACTATTGGGCAACAGAATTTTGATTGTTATTAAATCATGAAATCTATTATCTAATCATGTAAAAATATTACTGCATGTATATCTAGTAACATTATATTAAAATGTTACTGTAAACAGGTTTCACTGTATCTTGACAGTCAACAGTTCAATTTAAACAAAAACAGAACCATTTGAAATACCGCCCAACATCCGACACCCATCTTTCCGACACTCCAACATCCCGACATTCATCTTTCCGAAATTCCAACCTCCCGACAATCTAACTTCCCGACAATCCAGCTTTCCGAAAACCAACATCCCGACAACCTAACATCCCGACATCATTTTATATATTAAATGAAGCTCCGTTATTCTATCGTTGATAATAAATGCTAGTGGTCAATTCCCATAAAAACCAGAAATTGGACTAATTTGTCGGGAAGCTAGATTGCCGGGAAGTTGGGTTGTCGGGTAGACCCAATCAAATTAAATGTATAAATTACATGCTGTGATGGCAAGTGGCCTTCAAATGACCTTTAGTGACCTACTAAATGACCTTATTTTAATAATAAAATTTAGTGACCAGTGACCAAAAGTCACTTGAAATTATTGCAGGTGACCATCACTGATTACATGTACATGTTTATCGACTGCAAATTTGGAAAAATTTTCAGCGTAAATGCTCAAATAAAAAACAAAGAACAAAACATGTAGCCATTAAAATATACATATAGTGGTCAATTTTAAATACGTTCTTACATAAAGATAATCTATATAAGAACCACCTCTATAATAATCATATTTTCAGCTCCCAACTGGAGAGGTGTATTTTTATCGTTTTACGCACAATTCACTCTCTCGATATAAAAAGAATTTTAAAAACTTAAACTTGATAAGTAAAATTTATATAATATTTTTTCATTATAAACTATAGTGAAGATTTTCGCTTACTCCATTATTTGAAAATAAAAATCTCACAAGGTGCTTTACATATCGATCTCGAGATAATGTTTGTTTCTATTTAATGATATTATCGAGTTTGATTGTACAGTTACAAAGCAATAACGAATAATTAACGTGAAGTGAAATGGATCGAATTTAAATTTCTAAAGGAATGAATTCTAAATAGTTTAAAACTGACCCGGCTTTTTCGGAAGATTTCAACAAATCTAAATATTCAAATTATCGACAAGTCACTGGCTAAAATTGGTTGATGAAAATTAAGTGTTTGTGAACTGTTGGATGCTAACGAAATTTATCACTTTAACAGCTGCATAGAATTGTTTACAAATTTGATTGTCAGAATCGAAATTGATTTCCACCCATTTCCACCTCACGTCCACAATTAGGTAACTGTTGTATATCATTTTGAGGCGCATGTGTCGTAACACCGGTTCTCATGTTCGTTTTCACCAATTCATCGATAAAATCATAAGCAGATTCACCGATTTCTGCCATATCTAATCCCTCTTGTTCAACTTCGAGAGTTGCACGAATTGATAATACAGGAATTT